AATTGGAGTTACTTTACAGAAAAAGACCTAACTACTCCCACCTTAAAAGCTTTGGATGTTTCTATTCCCTACAACCCTTAAAACTTATAAAGACAAGTTTGAACCAAGATCCTTACCTCATGTATTTTGTGGGATACTCCTTTGTGACAAAGGGATACAAAGTACTCAATCTAGTCACAGAAAGAATCCACATTTCAAGAGATGTCATATTCCATGAAAATGTACTTCCCTTTGCTTTGTCTCCTAGTTCAAATAGAGTCTTTCCTTTATTTCCACAAGCAAATTCGGACCTAGCACATGATTTGTTTCCCCAATGAGTCTGTTTATCCTTCTAGTCCACCTAGTCAGCATCTCACAGTAGTGCCACCTGAATCCTCATCACCAGGGACAAGTGAGATCATCTTTAATATAACTCCAGACTTTGAAGGATGCTCTTTACATGACAGTGATCAGAATGAGTCACCTACCACTAACATTTCTAATCCAATAGTACAACAGCCTAGTGAAACATTAGGTAGACCTTCCAGAACACACAAAGTTCCCACCTATTTGAGAGACGATAACTACTCACTCCCTAAATTATAAACAAACCACCATGATTCCCCTTTCAGCAGTAACCAAAGCACCACTTCACTCTATTTTAATGCATCTGTACCTAATGTCTAATATGTTTCACCGAATGCATTAAGTTTTGATAGTAAGCAGTTGATTAAAAATATCTCACATGAATATGAGCCCACTTCATATGAAGAAGAAACTGCTAATCCTGCATGGCAAACAACCATGAATCAGGAGTTTGAATCATACCTAGATCTTAGTGCTATTCCTAAATGAAAAAAGAATAACAGGATGTAAGTAGGTAGATAAGTTGAAGTAAAAGGTAGATGGGAGCACAGAAAGACTTAAAGCCAGACTAATAGTGAAGGAGTACACTCAATAGGTAGGGATAGACTATACAGAAACCTTCTCACCAGTTGTAAAGATAACTACTGTGAGGGCTTTAATTGGGGTAGCAGTGACGAAAGAGTGGAAGATCTTTCAACTAGATATCAATAATGTATTTCTTTTTGGGGATCTCCATGAAGATGTGTATATGGAAGTGCCTCCAGGTCTTGTTGTGGAAAGACCAAACTTAGTGTGTAAGCTGAATAAGTCCTTATATGGACTCAAGCAAGAAATCAAACAATGGTATGAGAAATTGACTGCAGCCAGATGATACATACACTACTTACTTGACTACTCACTGATCCACAAAAAACATTGAGCTTAAGTGGTTTTGTAGCTGTCTATGTGGATGATATTCTGATCACATGTACTGATTTAGAAGAGACCTTCAAGATAAAAGACCTGGGAAGATTGCACTATTTCTTGGGATTAGATATGTTGTACAAGAATGATGTGGTATTGAGTCAATACATGTAGAATCCCAGGGAGCCACACTTAAAAGCTGTATACCATGTACTGATTATACCTTAAAGGTGATCCAAGTCTAGGGATCTTCCTATCTAATAGCAACGACTATGGAGTTAGAGCCTTTTGTGACTCAGATTGGGTTGCATGCCTTGAGTCAAGGAAATCAGTCGGTGGATATATTGTATTGCTTGGTGACTGTCCTATCAACTGGAAATCCAAAAAACATTCTACTATTTCACTATCCATGGCAGAAGCAGAATACAGATCAACAAGACAAGTTGTGGGTGAATTGGTGTGGTTAGTTAGATTGCTTGAAGAATTGATAGTCCCATTAGCCTTGCCTAATCCATTGTTTTTTGATAGACAAGAAGCTTTTCATATAGCCAAGAATCCTGTGTTTCATGAACCTACCAAACACATAGAGATATATTGTCATTTTGTGAGGAATTAACTCTACACATGAGCATTTGACAGATATATTCACCAAACCACTAACAGAGATTGAACATTGCAATTTACTTGGCAAGTTAGCTGTGAGTCCCTCCCTTCCAACTTGGGGGCAGGGTATTGAGAGTATATACATGGATGTATATTTATATGTATAAAATAGTCGTAATGTATGAGTTAGTTAGTAGTTAGTACATTTGTACACAAATAAATAGGGTGAGATATTTTGTAGCTAAGTGAACTTTCCTACTTATAATTTTAAGAGTGCCCACACAAGATAGAGAATAATTTTCTCTCTCTACCTCAACTCCAAATGGTAATATTTTTAGCGAGTAAATCACACGCTCCTCCCCATGGACCCGCCGGACGACGCCATTCCGGCGCGTCTGGATAGACAAAACGCTTCTACCCAAGAGGCGAAGCAAACCATTGAAGCAATTGAAGGCAACATCTCCTATGCAACCACAGTTACAAACTCCCCAAATTCAACTGTGTGCCCTAACCGCCATGAACGAGACTCTGTAATTACAACACACACCACACACAATGGTATGCCGGCAATCATGTTCAAAGTGTCAGACTACTATGGAATTATGGCTTCCGAATGCAGATTCACTATGGTTGGCTGATTTCTTAAACCTCGGCCCCAAATAGATCGAATTAGGTCTAAATTTAAGGAATTGATTTCTCTAAAAGAATCGTCCAAAATTGGAGTGTATGACAATTTCAATGTGTTTCTAGATTCAATAATGAAGAAGATTTCTCCACGGCTTGGTTCAAATGAGTTATAGAGATTGAGGGGCAACAAATGTGGCTTTAGAAGTGATCACCGGAATTTAAGCAGGAGGAGGATCTCTCAATTGCTCATATTTGGGTTCTTCTTCTTGGCCTTCCTTTTCATATGCATACATGGCATTATGTAAAACATGTGCTTAGCGCTGTGGGAACTCCACTCGAAATGGACTAGTGATTAGGGGCAGAACAAGACCAAGTGTAGCTAAGGTTAGAGTAGAAATTGATTTGTTAAAACCACAACCAGATTCTGTGTATGTGGAACAAGTATATGAAAATGCTCCTCAAAAAGGATTTGTTCAAAAACTCGAGTATGAAAGAATTCCTAAGTACTGCAAGTACTGTAGAAAATTTGGTCACAATTTGATAAATTGCCGGGCAATTGAAAGAAAGAAAGCAGCAGAGGACAAAGAAGCTGAGATCAAGAGGAATAAAAAGGCTATTGAATCAGATCTTACCACAATCAATGAGATTGAAAAGGCTCAAGGAATTAAGGATGGCAGCAGATACATAGGTATAGAGCAAAAGCCAAAGATTATGTAGAATGATGCAACCAAACAAGTTACAGAGAAGGAGGCAACCAAACAAGTTGATGAGAAAGAAAACTTTTAGCAGAATGGTACTCTCCAATACAGTATGTCCATTCAACACAATGAACAGGCGGTTGAAAGCAATGACATCAAAACCAGAACTTCCAAAAAGAAGAGGAAAATCAGCAAAAAAAGAGACTCCCCAAAAGAAATCCAAAGTGTCATTTAAACCTATATGGTGTCAAGTCAGCGGCAATAAAAGGTTTAACAAAGGCAAGGTGGATCAAGCCAATCGACAACAACAAGAACATGAAAAAAAAGATGAAAGCAGTGATGCTGGTGTGGACCTTGATATAGGAAACAATGATGATAACAGAGACACTGACTCTAGCAATAACTCCAAAGAGTGTAGTAAATCCATTCCAACAAACAAAAATTTTGAAGGGTCAAAACAGGTGGTGCAAGAATCCTCTAACATTCAAATTCATATGGCTCAAGAAAAGGAAGGGAGCAGTCAACATACCAACATTGAACAAGCTCAACATGACCTAATCAAATATCTCACAACTAATAAGGGATCAGTCAGCATACCTTTAGAGATCAAAGCAATGCCGGGGATTAATATGGTGGTTCAACTAGACCTAGAATCTCCATAGTCATTGACAAATAAACCTTACTCTATGAAGAAAACTAATCAACAGATAGAGGTGAATTCATAAATAAAGTTACAGTGAGGATTTCTGAAGACCAAATACAAAATGCCCAAAGCAACCAAGAAGATAATGAGGGATTCTCACTGGTCCAAAAGAGCAAAAACAGAAACAGAAGCAAAAAGATGGGAAAGAAAACTAAAGAGAAGCAGAACTCTTCCAATGTGGAAGGGAGTACAAACTAATCTTCCCTCGACTTCATGATTAATTCCATCTTTTGGAATATTAGAGGTGTGAAATCAAAAAAAGTCATTCCCAGACTTAAAAAACTCATCAAAATGTACAAAGTAGAGCTAGTGGCAATTTTTAATCTTTCATTAGCATTAGTAAAATTGACAAATATATGAAATTCCTTGGCTTTCAACACAGTATGGCCAACACAAATGGTAAGATTTGGTTCCTTTGGTCAGGGAACTACCAAACTAGTGTGGTCGACAATAAGGAGCAGCAGCTTACCATGAAGATGCAATACACCCCCGCTAATTGTGATCTATATGTCACTGCAGTATATGCCAAATGTACTGAGAATGAAATGAGAGAGATTTGGAGTAGTTTGGAAGACATCCACACTCACATCAAAGGTCCTTGGTGCATTAGGGGTGACTTCAATGTAATACTAGACCCAGATAAAAAAAAGGGGCAATCCTCACAGAATGCACAGAAGCTTTGAGTTTAGTAGCTGTATGGACAATTGCTAGGTGGTGGATTTGGGGTTTGTAGGACGTAAATTCACGTGGTGCAACAACTGGAGTGCTAGAAAAAGGATTTGGAAGAGACTCGGCAGAGTCTTTGTTAACGACCTATGGACCCAAATTTTCCAGATTAATATGGTCAAGCACCTTGGTAGAACTGGATCAGATCTTAAGCCTCTACTCATCAAATGTCAAAAAGATCCTCAAGCTGGCATCAAATACTTTAGATTCTTAGATTTCTGGGCTGAGCAACCATCATTTATGAACCCGGTAGAAGATGTTTGGAGAACTCAAGTTCCTGGAAATCCCATGTGGAGGCTGCAAAAAAAATGAAACTTCTTAGTAAGAGTCTCACTAGATGGTCGAAAGAGAAGATTGGAAATATTTTTGAACAAGTTAACATATGGGAAGCAAAAATGGTAAACTTGGAAGAGATTGACACTCTTAACAACACAGATCAATCCAGAGAGGAGCTCAATAAAGGGCAGGCAAAATGCATCAAGTGGCTAGGTATGCAAGATGCCATCCTTATACAGAAAGCGCAGCAGAAATGGTATGAAGAAGGGGATATCAACACTAAATACTTCCATAGTTTAATTAGAAACAGGAGATGTAGGCTCCATTTTCACACGATCAAGGATCATAATGGCTCATGGGTCCAAGGGGATGAAAATATTTCAAAGGTGGTTGTGCATCACTTCAAGCATTTGCTTAACCTCCAACATCAATTCAATAATCATGAGGTCCTCAACTGTATTCCTAACTGTATCACTAAGGAAGATAATAATCTGCTCAATGCAATACCTGACGAGGATAAGATCAGGGATGCCGTGTTTAGTATGAATGCTTCAAGTGCAGCGGGACCGGATGGTTTTAATGGCACCTTCTATAAAAAATGCTTGAATATCATTAAGAATGATATTGTAGACTTTGTGTAGAACTTTTTCAATGGCAAGGGCATGACCAAATTCTATAATCATACATGTCTGATTCTAGTTCCCAAAGTCGACTCCCCAACCAACTTCTCTGAGTTCAGGCCTATTAGTCTGAGCAACTTCACCAGCAAAATAATTTCTAAGATTCTTTCTAGAAGACTGAACCATATACTTGAGAAAATAATTTTCACTAATCAAAGTGGTTTCGTCAAGGGCAGGATGATTACTGACAATGTGCAACTAGCACAAGAAATTGTCCGCAATATAAGGCAGAACAATAACGGGGGTAATGTGGTTATCAAGCTGGATATGGCTAAAGCCTACAATAGAATGTCGTGGAATTTTCTAATGGCTGTCATGAGAAATTTGGCTTTTCAGAAGCATGGATTGATATCATTTGGAGATTTGTTAGTGATGTGTGGTATTCTATCATTATTAATGGGTTTAGAAAAGGCTTCTTCACATCTTTGCAATGTCTCAAACAAGGTGACCCGCTATCTCCTTCCCTGTTCATTATTGGAGCTGAGTTACTGTCCAGGTCCTTAAACAACCTTGCTACTCACAATAACTTCACCCCATTCTCCATGGACCATAGAGGTCCTATCATTACATACCTTGCTTATGCCAATGACATAATAATATTCATTGGAGGTGATAAGCACTCGATAAAACTCACTAAGAGTCGGATAAGAAGGTATGAACAAACATCGAGTCAAAGAGTGAACAACGACAAGAGTTTCTTTGTTATTGCTCTGAATACCTCTGCTAGTAGAATTAATAGAATCAGAAGAAATTCTGGTTATATGGACAAGCCCTTTGCTTTCAATTATCTCGGATGTCCAATCTACAATGGCATGAAGAAAATTAGCATCTTTGATGGCATGCTAGCCAAAATTGTGAAAAGACTCAACGGTTGGCCGGGGAAGATGCTTTCCTACGGAGGGAAGATAACCTTAATCAAACATGTCCTCCAATCCTTGCCTACCTACATTTTATCTGCTATGAACCCTCCCAAAGACATCATCAAGCTTATGGAAAAACACTTCAACAATTTCTTCTGGGGGTCTTCTGAAGGAAAAAACAACTATCACTGGTCCTCCTGGAATAATCTTTGCTTACCTAAAGATGAGGGAGATTTGGGAGTCAGGAAAATGGAAGACATTACTGAAATGCTCTCTTTGAAAAGATGGTGGAGATTCAGGACTCAACCATCCCTTTTGGCCACTTTCCTTAAAGCTAAATATTGCAAAAGAGCTCACTTGGTTACCAAAGTTCCTATCCCTCTGACTCTCACATTTGGAGAGATTTAACGAAGGCCAGGATCAAAGCTGAACCAAGCATCATTTGAAAAATTCAAGCAGACAACTCTAGTTTTTGGTGGGATAACTGAACGGGCCAAGATGCTTTGGCCAGGGTAGTTCAGGGCCCGGGTAAATCTCACAAGCTTTTCGTTAAAAATTTCATCCATGAAGATACCTGGGACACCAACAAATTAGTAGACACTATCCCTCCTCATATGTTGGATATTGTTACTAAGGTGGATATTGGAAACATAAGTCTTAATGACTTTCCAATATGGAATTTAGCTAAAGATGGACATTTCAATAACAAATCGGCTTGGGACTTAGTGAGAATGAAAAAGCAGGAAAATAACTTCATTGGTAAGATTTGGCAAAAATCTATACCTTTTAAAATCTCCTTCCTATCATGGAAGTTACTTAAAAGGCGACTACCTTTTGATAATATTATTGGTAAATTTGGCACTAACATTGTTTCTAGATGTTCTTGTTGTTGTTGTTTGTCGCAGGTTGACACTATGGAACATGTATTCAATGGATGCGAGGTAGCAAAAATAGCATGGAACACAATTGGCAATCCACTGGGCATAAGACATCAAATAGAGCCGGTGGTGGGCACATTTAAGAAATGGTGGGAAACAAGCTCAAAGGACAGGATCCATAACTTAATCCTTCAAATAGTTCCGTTAACAATTTGCTGGGAATTATGGAAACAATGAACATTGTGCCAATATGGTAATCAGAAGAAGTTACAACCAAACATGATGGTGCATCAAGCTATCTGGAATATCAAAGGAGCCATTTCGAAGATTAAACCAAGCTGGGACAACCACCACCCTTGGCCAGATCTCTGCCAAAGAATCGAAAAGTTGAAACCAATGCAAAGCTGGAGTCAAGTCTTGTGGTCGACACCAAATCATGGATATATCAAAGTTAATACCGATGGTAGCTACATCAGAGAAAACAACAAAGCAGGTATAGGAGGCATCGTAAGGAATAACAACGGTGATCTTATTATGGCCTTCTCGAAGGATGTCCAGTGTGATAACAACAATACTGCGGAGGCTCTAGCTGCTGAGTTTGGAATGAAATGGTGCAAGCTACAAGGCTACACTAATTTTATCCTTGAACTCGACTCTATGGTGATTGAAAACATGTTGATAAATAGAGACACCAACAATCTTAAAATCAAACAAATGATTGAGAGCATGCTGTAGACTATACAACAGGCCAATGTAAGAGTAAAGCATTGTTACAGAGAAGGCAACCAAGTTGCAGATTGTCTCGCGAAACCGGCTTCTACCTCGGGTAATAGCATGACTATCAACTCATATCAACAACTTCCTACATGTGCTAAAAGCTATTTCCTCATGGATAAGTGGCAAATGCCAAGTATCAGAACCAAATTCGACAAAGCTAATTTTTTTGTCTGCTAGAGATGTATTCTAAGCTCTTCCCAGATGGATAACTCCTTCTGTATATATCTCCTCTGGTTTTTCTTTTCTTCTTTTGTTGTTCGTTTTTGGGTGATGGAATCACCAAGTTGTATTTTATGAGGTTAGGCCTAGCCCCCCTCACTGATCCTTTTTGAATACGACTTAGCCCAGTATTGCAACTGGGTAATTGCATAAAAAAAAGTGAACTTTCCTTTTTGTGTCATTTTTCTACTCAGTTCATTTTAATCAAAGAAAGGTTCCAGAAGTTTCTCTCTCTAGGGCTCTCATACCCGCCATTAGAGCTCATTCGAGCTCAGCTCTTCTCTCGTTTCTACTACTATTTTGATAGAAAATAGTTTAACTTCAAATTTTTTAGTTAGTAGGTACATAAATATAATGGGATATTGAAATCACAAGTTTCAGAAGTGTTCTTCTTTTGTCTTAAACTCGTTACATTAAATGAAATTGAAGAATATTAAATAACCATAATTAGTGATAAAGGTGCACATGAAAGATACATGTCATATATATATATATATATATANGTATCGTTTTGACCTTATCCCTTTGAGACACCTCAACACTTTTGGACCTCATAGTTTTGTTCCCTTGAGCTTTGACTTACAAGACAGTTCAACAGTTGAATCCTGAACTCGCCCTTATATGATTTTAACGTAATCCTCCCAAAAACGTCTCGGCTTAATCCTCAACTTGCCCTTATATGGCGTTAACTTTCTCCCATTCTGATTGTGGAATTTTTCTAAAATAAGTTTTACAGCTACGAACTCCATTTCGAGTTCAACCACTAACAATACATGGGGTGTTGCATATCGATTGTGAACAAATTCCCTAATACCCAACTCATACGAGGAAAAAGAAAACCCCTTAATTAGCTAGGAAGTATGATTTATGTCTTTGAGCACGAGAGCATATCAATGTTTTCTGTTAATTTATGCCACATCTTATACGGTTCTAGAATACATATTGTAGATAAAGATAGTTTTTTTTTGTTTCCTACCCTGGTGTCTGGTACTCATATTGAGGCCCGACTAAATCCGAATTCGTATCGGAAAGTCCCACATTAGGGGGTAAATCGCTCCCTAACAAAGGCGATTCCATACTCAGGGAGTCGAATCCGAGACCTCTGGTTAAAGATGAAGGAGTACTTACCACTCCACCACAACCTTTGTTGGTGGATAAAGATAGTTACTTGTTGCTTTGCGTCGCTGAGCAATGAGATGCCAGCCTGGTTGTCTTTTTCCTGATTTTCTTAGGCAAGAAATTAGAGCGTTAATGCTTAGACTTAATCCTAACATTTACTGGATCATTTCGTCTTAATTGTTCGACAATTTCCGCTTATCCGAGTCACTTTTATTAATTTTGAAAACAAAATCCTTATAAATACATAAATAACTAACTTTTAATATACCAAAATAATGATAGAATGCATTTTAAAAATTTTAGAGCACAAGTGCGCAAGTTTTGAATCTAGATAGTGAAAATTCTTTAGATTTTTGAAACTGAATAAATAATATTTATAATTTGGGGAGACACAATTACATGTTTCCTGGTTACTTCTCAATCCTTTTCTATCTTTTGATTTTGGCCAGAGATTACTGGACAGAGTGGTTAAATTCCTCAACCAACCATATGACTGCCTAATACTATCTCCTATATTTCCGAGTCTTGATCTCAAAGTTTCCTTAATTAGTTTATTTATATCTTTCTTTTTTCCCATTTGATTTGGTCTTTGCCATCTTCCCCTTTTTTCTATCCTAACAAAAGAACTCGTTCGTACTTCAAATACTGCCTCTTTAGCTTTCTAGAAAGCGCCTTCCCCATGTACCCCCCGCGCGCACACAAAAAAAAAAAAAAACAGAAATAAAAATATATTAATAGAAAAACCAAAACCTTAATTAGTTTTGGACATAGTCTAACTTCTGTATACTTGCAATGTAAAGGAACTTTTACGGTACTATTAGGTCGATTACCAATCAGATAACTATTTGTAACTGTCCATAAAAAGTTGAATTAATAGCCTGGAAAATAACATTGTTACCTACTAAAAGAAGTTAAAATACACTGATAATATAAAAATTCTATACAGTGTAAGCTAAGTGTGAATAATTAAATCGTTTTCGAACATGTCGTTAGAAGTGATCCATGGAGTCAGCCATAAAGTAGAAACTTGGCAGTCTTTTTCATTCGATATATCTACTTTATCCGATATCAGAATATCTTCAAGTTTACGACTTTTTGAAGGGATATATAATATGCTAGTCATGGTGGTTGTGACTCTAGCAGCTGCCTTAATATCTTTCATTTTGCTCAATTCTTTTTTTTAATTTGCAAATAAATGGTGTGTGGTGTGCGTCTTGGTACGTGAGTTTAATTTGCACATAGGAAATAAATTTCGAAAAACTTGTTAATGGCTTGTCAATGGTGATTCTTCCATGGAAGCAGTGGGCAGTATGTACCTACCAATAAGTCTAATATATTAGCACGTCAGATCGGTTTGCCTAGGAAAATCACGTTGCATAATAATAATAATAATAATAATATTATTATTATTATTATTATTATTATTATTATTATTATTATTATTATTATTATTATTATTATTATTATTACTCTAGTTATTAAGAATTATAGGATAACGACGATAATATATAACAACAATCAATAATAATTAACGACAATAACAACGAGTCCGGAACCAAAATGTGTTTTTTTTTACTCAAACTACACAAATAGGTGGTTAAAAAAAGGTACATTTTTATATATAGCGCCACAATACCTGGCGCTATACATTAACGGTAACGGAACCGTTAATGTATAGCGCCAGGTATTGTGGCGTTATACTGTAAAAGCTGACAGGGCCATGTATAGCGCCACAATACCTGGCGCTATACATAGCGCACTAATGTATAGCGCCAGGTATTATGGCGCTATACATAGATTTTTTATACCCCTCCGTCTTCTTCTTCGATTCCATCCATCCCCCATTTTTTTAAAACTCTTCCCCACTTCTTGGTCCCCCCAATTCTGCCCGTTTCTGTAAAAAAATAAAAATAAAATTTGGGTCCCCCCGACACAAAACTCGAAGAAAAAGGGTCCCACATTCGAGTAGAGTTTCGTGCTATTGTTGATTCACAATTCCGGAGTCAAAATTTCAATCTTTTTGCTTTGCCAAAATTTTAAATCGAGGTATTTCGATTTATTTTAAGTTGAAACATTTATAATAATGTATATTATTTGATTTGTATGTGTTTTATTTCGGTTTGTGTTTTTTTTTCGAAACTAGCATGTTAAATTTATCCGAATTTAATATTAGTGTTTTCTAATAAAATATAAATTAGTAAAATAAATTTGTCTGTTAATATCCTGATTTATATATATGTTT